GTTTAAACCACTAGTTCTTAACCTTTGTTACTCAGATGTTTTTGGACTGCAACTCCCAGAAGCCTTCACCATCAGCTCTGCTGGCTGGGGTTTCTGGGAGTTGCAGTTCAAAAATACCTGAGTAACAAAGGTTAAGAACCACTGGTTTAAACCATCGTTAAGAGAAACAGAGGACCTAAAATTTAATCGCTATGCGAAGCATGGTCCCAACCATCGCTAAGCGAAAATCGCCCATAGGGACCATCGCTAAACAAAGCGCAAAACGCTCCGAAAAAGTTGTCGCTAAGCAATTTCATCGCTAAACCGAGCTCCTGTTAAGCGAGGCACCACTGTATAGCTCATTGCTCACACCTACTTCAGCTTTCCATAAGAGCCTGCACATCTTTTAGCCTGGACTTTTCCAACTAACAGTCTCCCAATGTTTGGAATACAACTCCCATTGGCCCTCGTCAGTGTGGCAGGTGGACAGGGCTAATGAAGGGGATGTAGTCTAAAAGAGCAACATGTGAGGAAGCCTGTTTTAATTCAGTCGTTTAGAGCAGTAGTCCCCAACCTTTTTGACGCCGGGGACTGGTTTAAGTTGAAGACCATTCTGCAAAGGACGGGGGGGGGGTACTTGTTATGCAGTAAGTTGTTGGAGGATAGCTTTGAATTGAGCTCATTACATGTATTGTTCTGGGACAGATGTGCAGCGAGCAGGAGCAGGAGGTGAGCTGCAATTGAAACTGTGCTTCCTGTTAGATCAGCAGCGGCTTAGAACCTAATAAGAGCGCAAGCTCCTATTAGATTCAAATGCCACAGGCACAGCTGATCTAGCAGCGTCAGGAGGGCAGCAGGGAGAGAAGCTCCGCCTCCTCTCACATCATCAGCAGCATTAGAACCTAATAGGAGCATGCTGACAGGAGGTGGAGCTTCACTCGCCACTCACTACCTGCTTGCCGCTCACGTGTCCCAGTGGCCCTGGTCCTCCCAAGGCCATGGACTGGTACTGGTCCCTGGCCTGGATTTTCTGGACCCCTAGTTTAGAGGATATCTGTGCTGATTATATAAAGTATGATTTTTAAAAAAGACTACTGCATGAATATCAGGTGAAAAGTGGGATTGAGATCTAGAGCTATATCTGTGAAGATTCTCAGTAATCCGGGTGAAGTTATCTGGAAGTTGAGTCATGGCAACTGGACGTCTTCCTTATTAAGTTGAAATGTTTCGCTGCTCATTCAGTCTGAGGAGAGTTGGTAGGAGACTCCTGATATATCCTCCCTGTTGGTTTCACTTCCCTCTGGCTGATTAGGCTCATTAGATGGACATTGGATGGGGATGTGTGAATGAAAATGCCACCTCTGCAGTCCTTCTCCACCCATTGTCATCGGTCATTAACACTCGTTAACAGTGATCTTTCTGGTGGGTGTGGTCATGATCATTCAGTGGCTGGAGGAAAGGGTAGCATGATAAATAGGAGACAGATTGTGTCTAAAGCCTCAACCCTGTTGAGCTAGGGATTTTCTATATGCACATGTATGGACTCTCTGACCCCTTTCTCAACCCACTTTTCTTCTTGGTCCAAAAAGAGTACAGTGATGCCTCGCTTAACGAGCGCACCGTACAACGACGAATCTGCATAGCGATCCCCTTTTCGGGATTGCTAATGCGGAGGCATACCGATCGTTCCAATGGGCAAAACTCACATAGCGACGATCGGTAAGCGCTTCGCTTACTGATCTTC